CTTTTTAAACCATCAGAATTAAATGCTGCACCAATCTCTTGGCCACAGCCCTCCAAGTCTGGCCCCTGACTAACCTTCCTTACCCTTCCTCTTCAGAAGGCATTTTGGTATGAGTCAAAGATGTGATAGGACTAAGGCATTTATCCATGGTAAAAGGAGATTCATCTAGCTGATAATTTGTGAAAATTGGGAAGATCCCAGTCACTTTAGGCAATAACCAGTGCTTGAGGAACTTTGTACTTGGTTGATCACAGCAGAGGGTGGTAAGAATGTGTGCTCAGCCAACCCTCAGCCTGCCTACTAAAGTATGGCAGGCCTTCTCAAACCTGGTTTTGCACAGTGATAGACCTGTTGCTAAAAGACAGTGAAATTCCCGCAGAAGAAATAAGCTTTATTCTAAGTCTGGAATTATATGGTTTCTAATATCTTTTTTCCTCATTGAAACAATTATTTTTCTAAACAATGCTTGATAGTAAGCATTCATTTCTTAACCTAATCATAGATTACACTCATGATCCCATAGCTGGCGATGGTGTTAAAGATGGAGTCAGCCTTTGGTGAAACAGAGAAATTGGTGTCTTTCAGGGCACTCTTGCAAATCCTAAAAATTCCTTTCTTCCTGTCCTGCCCTCATCCCCATCTCTCCACTTAGAAAATGAATTCTTGAGGAAAACTGGCATGGAGAACAGAACTTATTTGAGTGTAGACCTGAAATATAGGAGGCAAAGGGAGTGAGTTCTCTGGCATTCTTGATCTCACCAGGAGGGTAGGTGACCCTAGGACTTTAGTGCAGGTCCTAGAGCGTAGAGATGGATTTTCCTGTTTGGAGTTTCCTCTGTCCTCTGGCATTCTTGATCCCACCAGGAGGGTAGGTGACCATAGGACTTTAGTGCAGGTCCTAGAGCGTAGAGATGGATTTTCCTGTTTGGAGTTTCCTCTGTGCTATACAAACCCCTATGGATCCTGCCATTGCAATGGGCAACAGGATATGTTTAGGCTCCTGGCTGCCTCTCCATCTGTGCAACTTATGATGAAGTCCAACATGTACTGCCCCAGATAGCATTAAAGCCGAGGTGTACGGGTAGTCCAAAACAAAACCACTATATTCATTGGAATATCAGTTCCAATCCAAACCCTAAAAATTCTTGAGTATTATCTCACCTAAAACTCTAAAGGGCTGTGCCAAGAACTGAAACAGCTGGTTTTTCTTTTTAGTCTTAATCTATATATCACAAAAGGAAGAAATGGCGTATTTTAATTAGAACCTGCTTTTTTAACCTTTTTCATCTAGTACATTCTTTTGAAAAGTCTCTGCCAAGATCTCATAAAACTGGGCTTTTCATATTTCTGTAGAAGGCAGTATTCCTTACATGTTTACTTGAATAAACAACAAAAAAGATTTCTCCCAAGAGGTTTATTTGTCACATTTAAAGTACAAAATCAAATACACGATCCAGATATATAGATCATATATACATATATATATACACACCCACTACTTAGACCTACACAAACCCATCTATACATTCTAATTTATCCATCAATACTATCTTGAGTAAAAAGCAACATCTCTCTAAAAAAAAACAAAGTTGGTTATCAGTAACACTGTCAAATGTAAATTATTTCACTTTATCAATAGAAAGGGTAGGTCATAGGATAGGGGAATTACCAAGCATAAATCCAATTTGTTTATATGAATTTCTTAAAACGCATTCTATAGGAATAATAGATGAACCTGCCAATCAAAGTCTTCGGGCATATTAACTCCAAAAGAACTTGAGTTATGGGAAGATACTTTACATGGTTAATTAATTGCATTCCAAGAATTTTGTTTGATTTTGGTTTTAAATGCAAAGAAAAGACTATTTTGTCTAATAGCACAGCATTTCCAAGCCATATTTTCTGTGGAGTTGTAATGATGAATAGTTTAAATTGTTCAGGCTACCTATCTATAGCTGTTAAAAATTAAACTGGTCACTAAAGGAGGTACCTGATTTTTAACACTGTGTAGGTTATTTCAACCAAAATGCAAGAGCACAGTTCTTCAGGAGAAAAGCTGAAATTTTACTCTTGCCAGATACAGAATATATGATGTCATTAAACACATGAACATCCTGCTGATCATGGGGACTAAGTTATAATAGCTTTTCTGTTCTAGAATGTCATCTATCTTACATGCAGACCATAGGACACTGAGTCTCAGATGCCTAAATATCTCCATTCCGGGCACAGAACTTCATCAGTACCTGCTCCCATAACTGGGACACATGTACACAGATATGAGTCATTATCCACGTCAGATTTATTGTAATGGCTTCACAGTAGCAACACAAAATGTACTCGATGTTACATTTCCATAGGAAAAGTTATATATACACTATACATTTCAGCCTTGAAATGTGCAGCCAAAAAACATTCCATTTTCGGTAATCAGTGAGGGTCCCACACCCTCAAGTCCTAATTTAGCAGAGCAAAAGCCCCTCCTTGGCAGCCAAGCGTTGGCGATGGACTTGGTCTTGCTGCAGCTCTTCATGATTTGGATGCCAGAGTTTCATGATGATCCTTTCAATGTTAAGGGCATACACAGTATGTGTAGGAATGACTTCCCTGTGTACCTGGGATTAAAAAATTGGCGTATCTCCAATTACACTTT